ACGCACATCACACGCGAATCACACATACAAGTAGCACGGCCATCGGACAGACACACTCGCGCATAATAATCGTGTCAATGAAACAAAAACTTTGCTGATTCATGGTGGGCACGCATACGCGAAGTGGAAGAGCGACATTTTTGCTGCGACAGAAAATTACGAACTAACGCAATGTTGCCGATGCACAAACTCACCCCTCTCGCGCGGCGCTCCCTACAGGTTCGAAACATATGAGCCCTACAATACCGCTTGTCGTTAACAGAAATACGCGACGACTACCGAACTGCATGAACCATGGCAACGCGTGCTTTCCAGAGTATATACATTTGCACGTGCTGCGCAGTAGCCTGCCTCACTCCACAGCTACTCACAAACTGTAACCCAACTTGCGAAAGAATTCTGGTTTCAGCTTCAAGCACTTCGCAGCAGCCATGTCCTTCGCTTCGGAATCGCCAGCCCCCTCCTTCGTAAGTCTCTTCCTCTCGGCGTGCCGCGCCGAACTGTGGTAATTCTTCCATTTCGTCAGGAGTTCCTTCTTCTGGATGCCAATGACCTCCGACAGAGGCACAACGTCTTCCAGGATCGCATGTCTGTTTGACAATGTTTGGTGCACACAAGTAAGAGATAAACAGAACATCACGCGCGTGTCCGCGAGAGCGCCGTCCTTACACAAACAATGGTACATGGTCTTGCCCGTGGCGGGCTGTCAATGGTGGCCCAAAACCTATGTTTTACCGACGGCTTGCGCAACTGCTTGCTCTGATCAACATCCCTTACATAACGCATGCGAGCTGTTATCGAGCCGCGCAAAAACAATCGCAGATAAGAACGCATACTAAAATGAGAAATGTGTCCTTCGAAGGAGTCTTCTTCTGGCCCGCTGGGGCCGTCTTCTTCTGGCTGGAAGGCGTCAGCTTGGCTCTCTTCTTGCCAGAAGGCGTCGGCTTGGCCTTCTTGGGCGTCGTCTTGGCCGAGGGGCTGGGCAGTTTGCGCTTCTTCATGACAGAGGGGGTGGACGCCTTGTCAGGGCTCTTCGTGCTGTTGCTCTTTGCTGCTTTCTTCTGCCCGCCGAGAGCGGCGGGAACTGGGTCAGGTTTCAGAGCAGCCAAAAACAAGTCGTGATCCTTCTCATTCATGGTCGTCGAAAATGGCTGTTCGATGCATTCCGAAGACTTGAACTGGAACATAAACGGGCTCTGCTGCTCAGGCGAGGGCCGCCGCGCGGCCTTCGGCGGCGGCGAGCGCGCGTCGAGGTCAGTTCCCAAAATTGTAGCGACAATGCCGAACCCGTCGCTCGAAGAAGCAGCGCAGCTACTGGCTGTGTTGGGGCTGTCCTCCAAAGCCAAGAGGGATCGAGGAGTCTCGTCCCACGTGCCGAACGGTGCCGCGGGCTGCTTATCCACTGTCATATGGTTGAACACCTTTTGAATCTGCTCCATCTCTGCCGCGGTTGCCTGCAGAATCAAGCGCGGCAGAGAGATGTGCCAGAATTGAAAGAAATTTTGTCAAGCAGTGCACATGTAGCGTCACATGTGAAACCTACATGCTTCACCATGTTGCATCAAAGTCTTTCAAGATGCTGGCGCGACCGAAAGCAACCCGACGGACGCGCGCAAATGACGATCACGTTGCGCGTGCTGACAGAACAAAAGAAACGTCATTATAATCTCATCGCTTCGAGAAGACAACGCCATTTTTCGTTCAAAGTAAGGTGCATAAAATGGTATCCTTGTACGTCAAAGCGTTTAGCTTTGCCTCGTGCTGCAGGGCGTCTCTGTACTTGGAAGCAGCCATCCTTGAGGCATTTGGCGCAGTGCCCCAGCTCCCCTCCCTGTCCGCAGTTCCCTCCCCTCCCCCCATGCTGCGCCGTGCATCCCTTCGCCCGTCGCGTTTCTGCGTCATGACCCCTTGCGGACCCGACGCGTCCTGATGTACCACGCAGTGTCGTGGCAGAAGTGCTCCAGAGGAAGGTCACACATGTGGACGGAAGACTGCGGAGGGGAATCGCAAGGAAACATGCGTAACACGCACATGCGCATATAAAATCATATTGCAATTGCGAAATCATGTCAAAAAACATTTGAAGAATGATGCGTTGTAAGCATGTCAACTATATGAATACTTCGTTGCGTCAATCGAACAATAAAGAATAATGACAAAGCGCCTGCTGGTGCGTCTTGTATATGGCTGCGCGTGACTTCACCTGGTGTACAACCATGTTCGGTGACGTCTTGGCGATGTCCGTGAACAGACCTGAAAAGTTGGCCATAATCGCGGGATCTGGGATGCTGTTCTCCGTCACGTGCTTGCGGATCGGGCTGCAAGGCGTGTGATTTCACAATGGAACGACATTGGACATAAATGTGGCACGTTCAAGCATACAAGCATGCATGGTTGTTGCTTGCAACGGTTGCGCGTGACATGACAAAACGCACTTCTAATGCAACGCAAATCACATGACAGGCGATGGCAGCATTTGCGATTTGGCCCAACATGGTAACACTCATGACAAAGCAGAACTGGCGCGGGAAATGCAAAAGAAACATTCAATGCGAAACAAAATGCCCGATGATCCGCCACAGGTCGCGGGTGCCCTCGCTCTTGTACAAGCTGTCCAACACGCCGACCAAAGAATTGATACTCATATCCGAATCTGCCTTCGACCTCACACGCCTGCGCGTCAGGCGGCCCAACATCGCGTCCGAAACGCGCGCCTCCTCTGCAACTTTGGGCTTGGTCCAAAACTGCTTCAACGGAACACATGCGTCGATGAAACAGGCAACAACACGTGGGCACCACAGAGACGCGAACGCCAACGCATCTTACGCAAATCAACGTTGCCATAATTGAAATGAGCGACAAACAGTAGCAACATTAGCACAATGAAGACAAGCCGTGACATCGGTTCGATCCGCCGTCAAAGCGGAATACGGAAACTAATGTTGGAAACTAATTTTGGAAACTATAATTTGAAGTAGTTGTCAGTAGTTTCAAATTAATTCTACAACAATAAAAAATAATTTAAATAAATTATAATAAGGAGCTGATAATTTTTATAACAACTTAGTTTTTTAAGTTAATGAGTCTTAAGGGCAGGACGAAGAACCGGTCCCCGGGGAAGGGTCCAGACTTCTGGGGGTCGCGTCATGAAAAATTCATGACGTCGGGGGTCTGGGAACGGGGCGGGCCTCCTCAGAAGGCTCGGAAGCCCCCCGGCCCTCCGAGAAGCTGTCCAATCCCTCCCCGAGGGCACAGCCGACGTCTCCGGAAGTCCCGCCGCCTTCTGAAAGGGCCTTCTCCCCCTCACTTCCCCCCTCGCCCGCCGCCGAGATCCAGTTTAAACGAGGTGGATGCATTGGTGGTGCATTTTCGCCCGCTGTCTTGAGAAGCCCCTGAAGGGGGCAACGCGCATGGGGCGTCGGCCGGCGCCCGAGGAAGCGCTCCTGGGCACCGTGCGCGCACTCTGAAACTGCCTGGCCAATCAGGTTTGGAAGGTCACTGGGGCATTCACCAGCTCCCTACAAAGTCAACTTTCACAGCGATGCCATACAGTCGGACGGGCGTTCTTGGGTGGATACGTATTTTGGTTATGGGGCATGGCATGGTATGCAATCCGGGGGAGGCGATTGAGGAGATCGCTGAGCCTTTTGAGGCGGGGGGGGGGGGCTGGGGCTGTCTTGAGCAAACTGTTTGCACGTCGTTGAGCCATGGACGCACTAGCTGGTGGGCAACTTTGTGTACGACCTTCAGGGAAGGGGCATCTTGGGGAGCTCTTGGGGGCTTCCTCGGGCCGACATCTGGCCACGCGCGCTGGGGCCATGCGGGAACCCGCATGGCGAGACTGCGAGAAGGTGGACCGCACCACTGGAAGCACAAGTTGCTTGCTCCAGCCAGCTCCCTCGGCATCCCTGGTGGCGTGGGAGGCGCTGGGCCGTCCCCGACGTCCACGGGCTGCCTCGAGGGTGTATCTGGCCACCCTCGTGGCCTCCTCGAGCCAGCTCGGGGCCGCCTGGGAGCGGCGCCGCTCCCTCCCCGGTGGGTCTGCCACCAGTTCCCCGCCGCATGCCCGGGCAGTGCCAAGGGGGGTCACCACTGGGGGTTTCGCGAGCTCCTCGAGGAAATGGCGTTTCCTCGGGGTGGTTTTCGGACGTTGGGGCAGTTTGGGGAGAGCTCTGGCGTGTTCTGGTGGACCCATGTCCTTCACAAAAACACTTCCTCGGGGAAGTGGCGACCCCCAGAGTGGTGCATTGGCCGGCATAACGGGGCCGGAGCAGATGGGGTTGAAGGATCGCGCTGCATTGCCGATGAGTCACCGATGCGGCTCGATCTGGGGCCCGATATGGAGCTGGAACGCGATCCAGCTGAAAGGCGCGGGGCGTTTCCAGAAATTCACGCTAGCGTGCCAGATGACGACGCTAATCGGTGTCGAGTTTCAGCTGCAGCAGAAGCGAGCCAGCCATTAAAAGGTGATAGAGCCGATACGGCAATCGACACGAGGACGACCCAGTGAACTTAATCGGGGATGCAAAATGTTTGAACTCATGATCGCTTGCATCGACCCGGAAGACACTCACACTGTCAGCAACCTTTGCTTGGCGAGTCGCGCCGCCGGTTCTGGCCCACCGCGCTTCATCACCACACGCCAACCAAGCGTCAACGTCCAGAGCCTTCTCCCAGCCTGCCACCCCGCGGAGCGGAGCGACACGCTATCAGCTTGCAGCGAATAGAGTTCAGCCACGCGCAGAGGGGGGTCGGGGGAGGGGGGAGGGCTTCTTAGAAGCACCACTGCTTCTTAGAAGGCGCGGGCCTTATCTATAGATGTAAGGCCGGCGCCTTCTAAGAAGCAGCCTGCTTCTAAGAAGCTCTCCCCCCTCCCCCCACCCCCTTGTGCGCGCCGCCAAAGAATAGCGTGTTGCCAGGGCCGCCGCCACGACACAGTCCTCCAAATTTCCCGACCATACCAAGATCGACCTCGCCGTGTCTCTCTCCCTCGTCCCCAGGAGCCGCCCACCAAGCAGTGGCTTTGGAACTCGCGGACGCGCTTCCGTGTGCGTCAGCATCTAGAGATGGAGAAGAACTTGAAGTTCCGCGAAGAGTTCGACTTGTTAGAGGTCCTGTTGAGGAGACCCGATATTTAACACCTCTGTCTTCGCAAGATGATGGTTTCTGATTTCCTCGGGGCTCTTCATGGGTCCTTTGTCGAGGTTCCTGCTTCCCCAGATATGCGATGTTTTATTTGTTTTCGGTACGGGGTCCCCAGAAGGTCCCGACCCTTTCCCCAGGGCAGGTTATGCATCCAGAGTCGTTTTGTCATTGTCCTGGGCCTTGTCATTGTCCTGGGCCCTGGCGAGGGCTCCCAGAGGCGGAAAACAATGAGAATCCTCCGCTTGGAACGCGTGGACTGCTTGGGTCTTTGTGTGAGCGCTTGGGCGCCGAATTTGGAAGAAGCTGGCCACAGGTTGCAACGATGCGCTTGGGGACGCTCGTGCCGGGGTGGCGGCGTCCGGCTCGGGCTCAGGACCGAGGAGCCGACCGTGCTGTTCGGAGACAGCCATACTCTTGGCTATGCTGCCCGAGCGCTCCTCCGCCTCCTCCTCCTCCTCCTCCTCCTCCTCCTCCTCCTCATCCATTCCGCTCATTTTCCCTACGAACGATTTCTCCCTGTCGCACCCCGAGGCGAGTTTGTAGGGCGGGCCGGGCGTTTCGCCTGAGATTTCCTCACCGTGTATGGTTCTCGAGCGTCAACACAGGCAGCAGTTCTACAAATGGAGGGCGGGTTGTTTTCAGAATGTGGCTATCGCCTTAGCGCGGCGCACATTCGTTTTAACAGTTTGCAAGCAGTTCAAAGATTGAGGGCGGCTCTTTTTCAAAATGTGGCTCTCGCCTTAGCGCCGCGCGCATTCGTTTTTTTGTAATGCAAGAGCTTCGCGGATTCTCATCATCAGCGTACCAGAAATAGTGTCCTGGAAGGATTTAGGATTATGCAGGCGCAACTGTTGCGTTTGTTCTCTGTGTTGAAGTCCTAGAAATGGCGTTCTGGCACGACTCAGGATCGTCAAGACGCAACAGTCAGGTTGATCCGTGGCGTTGGAATCCCGAGAGCAATGTTTTGGCATGCTTCAGGGTATTCAGACGAGTGTCTTCCAACGAGGCAGTCCCCTCAATGGAAATTGACCGACGGGGGGGCCTACGAAGAGGGAGGGAGAGTTCACTCCAACATCGTTGATGACCCCTGGGTTTACACCGCTCCTCCTCCTCCTCCATCTCCTCCTCCTCCTCCTCTCATTTGCCGCCGCGGGCGACAGAGAGCGCCCTCCCCCTGAGGCGATCCCGCAGCCTTGCCTTGAGATCCGGGCTGTGCGATCTTGTCCACACTGGGCGCTTTCGCTTGGCATCCGGCCCAGGGACCATCACAGGTCGGTCCGGCTCGAAGACTGCAGCCGAAAGACGAGGTCCAGGGCTCCGGTTGTGCTCTGCCGCGGATCTCAGAGGAGGCCCCTCCGCGTGCGCTCCCGGGGGCGGAGCTCGCGCCCTATGCCGACCCGAGCGAGCCTCTGTGCCTGCTGCTCCTCCTCCTCCTCCTCCCCCTCCTCCTCCTCCTCCTCCTTCTCCTCCTCCTCCTCCTCCTCCTCCTCCTCCTCCTCCTCCTCCTCCTCCTCCTCCTCCTCCTCCTCCTCCTCCTCCTCCCCCTCCTCCCCCTCCCCCTCCCCCTCCTCCTCCTGCCGTGCCACGGCCTAGCGCCGTGGCACGGCAGTGAGCAGCTGCGTCGGCGGATCGGGTGTCCCCGGCATCCCGCACGCGGCAGCGAGCCCGGGTGTCAAGCGGTGTTGTGCCGGCAGAGCGCGGCGGAGAGGAGTGAGGGAAGGGGAAGGCCGGCAGAGCTCCGACACCGGGAGTGACCGCCGATGCAAGCGACGGGATATCAGGAAGGATCGCAAACGATAACCACGAAGGCATCCTCCACCCTTCCGACGTCGAAGGGGTAAGGGTGGCCCACTTCACCATTCGCGGAGGTAGTTGTGATCGTTGCTGTCGTTGTCGTCTTTGTGATCGTTGTTACCGTTGTCGATGAGAACGGGCGGGAAGAAACAGGAAGCAGACCGTGGAGATGACAAGGGAGAAGGAGAGGAATGGGGCAACGCAGGCGAGAGGACTGGACAGCACGGTGCGAAGAGGAGGAAGGAGGAAGGAGGGCACGGAATGACAGAAGGAGGACTAGGGTGAGATTACGAAGGCTCTCACGGTTTGTTCTCCCTCGCTGTATTTGAGCCAAGCATGAACTTTCGGCCTTTGTGGCGTCTCTCACATCATTCGATTGATTCCACCAGTGCTCGCCCAGAATAGTTATTGCGTGTAATCACACACAGTATCCTCTCTTCTTAGGTCTCTATGTTTCTTTCTCTTTGTCTGTATCTGCCTTTCTCTGAGTATAGAGATGTACATGTGTATATATATATATACACATATCTACATATTTCTCTCTGTATCCCCTGGTCTCTCTCTCTCTCTCTCTTTCTGTCCCTCCCATGTTTCTCGCTCTCTCTCTCTCTCTGTCCCTGTCTCTCTCTCTCTCTCGCACTAACACTGGCTGCCTCTCTCCATCAAGTCGAGATGCCAAGACAGAGATGTGTATGGCCGCTCCCAGGGATCCCGACATCGCGACGATGCGGTTTCGGTACACGCTGGACCCCTGCTCGTTGTTGGTGCTGCTCCCTCTCGGAAGCATTGGCTACGTCAATCTCTCTTTGTCTCTCTCTCTCTCTCTCCCTCTCCCAGTGTCTCCCTGCTGTCACGGCCGGGACGCCAGACTATTTCAAATAAGCATAATTTGTGTAAGCCTTGACGAATTGCAAATATTTCAATAACCATAAATGGTACAACATAACTATTCAAATAACCATGAATAAACCTATCAATGTGCAATTGTCTTGGATCGAGTCCCAAGCGAAAAGGCAAAGAGGCTACGCGTGTCAACCCCTGCGGGCTCTCTGGGTCAGAGTGCTCCCGGTGCAGCAGCGACCGAGCATCGGCGGCGATGGGACCGGGAGGCGGAGCGCGGAGAGGCAGTGCACAGCGGGGGGGGTTAAAAGGACTGGCCTGACGCAGGACCCACACCCCAGACTTCGTAATAAAAGGGAGGGGGTCTGGACCCTCCAAGACAAGCCATTTCAGACCCCCCCCCGTGGGAGAGCCCTCCAAAACATCGTCCCCAGACCCCCCCAGGCCCTCCAAGATAGCCTGGAAGAGACCTCCCCCCAAAATGAGACCCCCCTCCTTTTATTACGAAATCTGAAGTACCCATGCAGTTGTGGGCACCGTCGTTGTATGCACCGCAGTCGGTGGAGCTCCCTATGGGGCCACGAATGAGGGGTGTGCCAAAATGGGCGCAGTGGGCGCATGCGGGCGCTGGCATGTGGGCCTTCGGTGGAGCTCCCTGTGGGGCCACGAAGCGTGTGAGGGGTGTGCCAAAATGGGCGCAGTGGGCGCATGCGGGCGCTGGCATGTGGGCCTTCGGTGGAGCTCCCTGTGGGGCCACGAAGCGTGTGAGGGGTGTGCCAAAATGGGCGCAGTGGGCGCATGCGGGCGCTGGCATGTGGGCCTTCGGTGGAGCTCCCTGTGGGGCCACGAAGCGTGCGAGGGGTGTGCCAAAATGGGCTCGGTGGGCGCATGCGAGCGCTGGCATGTGGGCCTTCGGTGGAGCTCCCTATGGGGCCACGAGCGTGCGGGGTGGTGGGCCTTCGGTGGAGCTCCCTGTGGGGCCTCGAAGCGTGTGAGGGGTGTGCCAGCATGTATGCGGCTGGCGCATGCGAGCGCTGGAATGTGGGCCTTCAGTGGAGCTCCCTGTGGGGCCACGAAACGTGTGAGGGGTGTGCCAAAATGCGCGCGGTGGGCGCATGCGAGCGCTGGCATTCGGGCCGTCGGTGGGTGACAGGAGGAGGGAGGAGCGGGAGCAGGAGGAGGAGGAGGAGGAGGAGGAGGAGGAGGAGGAGGAGATGAAGAGATGAGGAGATGAGGAGATGAGGAGATGAAGAGGAGGAGACGCGGGGATCTCTTTTCAAAACGAAGACCTGACACGACAGGATGCTTGGGAGAATCCGAGTCCACCCACCCTGCCGGATTCCCGCGCGGATTGCTGGGATCGGCGTCGGGGCCACCTTGGCGGCGCTTCCTTCGCCATCCTTCGCGCGCTCCGCGCGCGACGGGAGGGGTGAGATCCCAGAACAGTCAGCACATGAGTATGACGCAGCCATGAATACAGTTCGCACATCTCATGCGGGGCGATCTGCCACACGTGTGTAACGAGGAGAGCACGGAGGGGGAAGGAGAGAGTGTGAGGGTGAGGCTCCAGGATGTGATGCTTCGGGATAGGATGGATGAGGGCGGGGGGGGCAGGGCGAGAGTAGGACGGGGGGGGGGGCGGGAAGAGAGGAGAGACGATGAGATGGGGGGGAGAAGGAGCCTTGACATCCGCTGATGTGCTCTTCTCAATATGCGGCCCCATGAGTCTCGACCCCTCCCCCCAGTAGCCTTGCGTCCCGGATGCGTTCTTGACGCTCCCGGGGCCCGAAAGCGGCCTTCGCGAAGGCAGAAATCTGAGAAGCAAGTCCTGGATTGCAGAAGACAGATCGTCGTACGTCTGGGAGTAGAGGGACCAGAAGGAGCAGGAGAAGGCGGGAGGGGATCGAGGGTGGCTCGCCAGCTCTGCAACGTAGGCAAGCAGCAAGCAGGGTCATAGATAGCAATGCGCCGGGAGGGGTAATCATCATGGCAGGCGCGCGCGCCCCAACCGTAAGCACTTGGGGCCTGGCAGCCGCCTTCAGTGGCGCGCGCCGCAGCCTACCGTGCTCGCCGGCTGGAGGGAGCTCCATTTGCGACGGCATGCTTTTGGCGTGTGGGGGCCGCCTCGTTTGGAGGGGGCGTATTTGGGTAGACTTAAGTCGGGCCTGTCCCTCTACAGGGGGAAGATCCCAAAATAGTCAACAATAGTCTGGGGACTATTTTTTGAATCTGTGTTTGGGCACCCGTTAAGCTTTTTTGAGTTTTTTTGTTTACCTTTCGTCCAATATCCCCCTTGTAGGGGGACAGGCCCGACCTGAGAGTAGACCGCGTGTCCCACTACCAGGATCCCGAGCAAGAGAGAGAGAGAGAGAGTCGGGGGCGGAAAAGAGGGGGGGTGATGACTAGGGGGGGGGGTGGATATCATGGCGTGGGCCATGATATTTCCCCAGATGTCATGCCGCCTCTTCTTATTCCATGACGCCCCTGGCCCCCCCCGCTGGGCCGCGCACGTGCCGCCGGCCATGCTTTGCCCCCCCCCCCCCCCTCTTGGACACCCCCCTCTTGGCCGCTCCCGAGAGAGAGAGAGAGAGAGAGCACAGTTTGGGGTGGAAGAGGGCCTTGATTTGAGCCTTGTTTGGGCACCTGCGAAGCCTTGATTCGAGAGGGAAGAGAGAGAGGGAGAGAGAGAGGGAGAGAGAGAGAGAGAGGGAGAGGGAGAGAAAGAGAGAGGGAGAGAGAGAGAGAGAGAGCACAGTTTGGGGTGGCAGAGGGCAGGGAGGCGCCCCCGACCACGGCCCGCCGAGCCCGACGGCCCCCCCCCCCACGAGATGCCGAGCGGCCGCGGGCTCCGGCGCTGCCCCCCCGCCTGCGCGGGCCCCTTCGGGGGCCCCCGGGGGGGGGGGGGGCCTCCGCCCCGGGAACTTGGGGGGAAGGTCTGCTACCACGCCCGTGACTCCTCCTCCTCCTCCTCCTCCTCCTGCTCCTCCTCCCTCCTCCTCCTCCTCCTCCTCTCCTCCTCCCTCTCCTCCTCCTCCTCCTCCCTCCTCCTCCTCCTCCTCCTCCTCCTCCTCCTCCTCCTCCTCCTCCTCCTCCTCCTCCTCCTCCTCCTCCTCCTCCTCCTCCTCCTCCACCTCCTCCTCCTCCTCCCCCTCCAGATCTCCGACGGCACGACTTTGTTGAGTCTCGGGTGCCTTTTCCGCGGTGTCGGCCTCCGGGGCCCAGTTCGGGCCCGATTGGGCCAGCAGGAACGGAGCGGGGGCGAACACTTGCGCGCTTGCCCTGGCAGCCGCTGGGGGTGATTTCTCCATCCTCGGGGTCATGGCCGCTTTCCCGGGGCAGCTTGGAAGACGACGACTTCTTCCGCGACGACTTCTTCTGCGACGATTGCTTCTGGAAGGACTCTCTTCCGGAAGGAGTGGTCCGGAAGAGGTCGTCGCGGAAGAAGTCGTCTTCGGAAGAAGCGGTCGGGAGGAAGTCGTCCGGAAGATGTCGTCGAAACATGGTTTTTCTCGAGAGATCGGCGCGGCGGAGACGGGGGAGAAGGGAGAAGATGCGTTCGTAAGAAGGCGTTCGGAAGAAGAAATTCGGAAAAAGTGGACCAGAAGAAGTCGTCTCGGAAGAAGTCGTCTCGGAAGAAGTCGTCCGGAAGAAGTCGTCCCGAAGAAATCGTTTGGAAGAAGTCTTCTGGAAGAAGTCGTTCGGAAGAAGTCGCCCGGAGAAGCTTGGGAGAAGCTCCGCCGCCTTTTGAGAAGGCCTTCTCTTCTTTATTTCCTTCTCGATCGCCGCCGACTTGTGCGTCCTCTAGATAAGATTGGATTCGAACCCGTCGTCATCATCGTCGCCCGTCGTCGTCGTTCGCCGTCGTCGTTCTCGTCGTTGGCGATGTCGTCGTCGTCGTCGTCGTCGTCGTCGTCGTCGTCGTCGTCGTCGTCGTCGTCGTCCGCGTTGGAGCCCCGTGCCGAGTAGATTTCGGCTTTCGCCTCCGCGGCATTGCCGCGTCGAATGCAATAGATTTGTGCGGTTTGGCAACGTTGCACGTCAAATTAAAATTGGCCTTTTGTCCCCGGCCTGTCGTTGCCCCATTGCGAACGGAGTGGCGCTCCATGCCTTCCCGCCCCGCGGCGTTGCCGCGTGGCGAATCGAAAGAGATCTTCACTTTTGACCCCCATACGCTACCGCGTGGCGAGCGCAGTGGGATTGTACAATAGGTTCGGTCCGCGCGGCATTGCCGCGTGATGAGGTGAGTTGATTTTGATTTCTTGTTCGCCCCCCACGTCGTTGCCACGTGGCGCATGGAGTGGAATAGTCTTTTTGTTTACCTATCAGTCCTTGCCACGTGGCGCTGCCATGTGGCGGGTAGGGAAGAGTAGAATTTGTTGCCGGCCCATCTTGTTGCCGCGTGTCGAGTAGAGCTCAAGATGTCTGTTTCGCCCCGCAGGGGCTGCCGCGCGGTCAGCGCAGCGAAATAGCATGCGTTCCCCCCTCCCAGCGCTGCCACGTGGCAGGGGGAGTTGAGCAACATTTGTTTCGCTTCCCTAGTGTTGCCACGTGGCGAGTAGAGTGAAATATGCGCTCCGCCTCGCAGGCGTTCCCACGTGGCGAGTCGTGGAGTGGAGCAGTCTGCTTTTCGCTCCCCAGTTGCTTCCACTTGGCAACCCGCGCGGAACAATACTTTGTCAGTTCTGCAGGCGCTGCCACGTCGCAATGAGGAGTGGAATAGCACATTCGCTCGCCCCCCCCCCCCAGGCGTTTGCCACGTGGCGAGTGCAGTGGAACAGTTTCAGCGTCCGCTCCGCAGGCATTGCCGCGTGGCGAGCAAAGGGCCGAGGGAGGAGGGAAGAGGACCGAGGAGCGAGCATGGATGGGGGGGGGGAGTAGGGAGGAGGCAGGAGGGAGGAGGGCGGAGGGAGCAGGAGGAGGAGGTGAGAGGAGGGAGGGAGGAGGGAGGAGGCAGGACGGAGAAGCAGGGAGAGGAGGCAACAGGCAGGAGGAGGAGGAGAGGAGGATAGAAGGCTTGGGAGGAATAGCGAGGAGAGGGGGAAGGGGAGGTGTGAGGATCGAATGGAGGACGAGGAGGACGAGGAGGAACGAGGAAGAGACGTGGAGGATGAACGATGTCATTGCCACCTGGAGTGGAGTTGGATAGTATGTTTGCTTGCTTATCTGGCATTACCGCGTGGCGTTGCCATGCGGCGAGGAGAGTGGACTAGCATGAGTTCACGGCCCGCTTCGATGCCACTTGCTCAGGCGCTGCCAAGTGGCGAGTAAAGTGGAGTCTTAGTTGTTTCCCCGTTTCCTCCTCCGAGCGTTGCCACGTGAAACGGAGTGTGGAACAGTGTCTGTTTCGCTCCCCCGGCGTAGCCACGTGGCGTGCGCGAGCGGGCGCGAGCGCGCGGGCGGGCGGGCGGGCGAGCGCGCGGGTGGGCGGGCGGGCGGGCAGGCGGGCAGGCTGGCTGGCGGGCGGCGCCGGCCGCTGCTGCGGCGGCGTCGTTGCAATCATCATCATCATCATCATCATCATCATCATCATCATCATCATCATCATCATCATCATCATCATCATCATCATCATCATCATCATCATCATCATCATCATCATTATCATCACCATCACCATCACCATCGCCATCACAATTGCCATCGTTTTCATCATCATCATCATCATCATCATCATCATCATCATCATCCGCATCGTCATCACTATCATCATCATCATCATCATCATCATCATCATCATCATCATCATCATCATCATCATCATCATCATTATCATTATCATCATCATCATCATCATCATCGTCGTCGTCGTCGTCGTCGTCGTCGATGTCGTCATTGCCGTTGCCATCGCCGTCGTCGTCGTCATCGTCGCCCGTCGTCGTTTGTCATAAGTCGTCGTCGTCGGTCTCGTCGTTGTCGTCGTCATCGTCGTCGTCGTCGTCCGCGTTGGAGCCACGTGCCGAGTAGATTGTGGCGTTCGCCTCCGCGGCGTTGCCGCGTCGAGTGCAAGATAATTGTGCGGTATGGCAATGTTGCGCGCAAAATTGTGTTGCATCTTGTTCGCCGGCCTGTCGTTGCCCCACTGCGAACGGAGTGGCGCTTTACGCTTTACGTGTTCCAGCCCTGCGGCGTTGCCACGTGGCGAATAGAATGGAACATGTATTTTCGCCGCCCTGGACGCTGCAACGCGGCGAATACAGTGGGATTGTATAATGGTCTTGGTCTGCGCGGCATTGCCACGTGATTCTTTATACTTCTCGTTCGCTCCCCATGTCGCCCGGATGAAGTCGCCCCGGCAGGACTCCTGTCGGAAGAAATCGCCCGGAAGATTGCGCCGCGGTATTGCCGCGTGATGGGTAGAGCGGAGGTATTTTCCTTGTTTGTTCCCCGCGTCATTGCCACGTGGCGAGTTGAGTGGGAGAGTATTTCTGTTTGTCTCACGGGTCAGGTATTGCCACGTGGCGTTGCCACGTGGCGAGTAGAATTGAGTAGCGTGAGTTCCCGGGTTTCTTCGTTGCCACGTGCTCAGGCGCTGCCACGTGGCAAGTACAGTGGAGCATTAGTTTCCGCCCCTCGAGCGTTGCCACGTGGAACAGAGAGTGGAGCAGTATCTGTTTCACTCCCCCGGCGTAGCCACGTAGCGTGCGCGAGCGGGCGCGCGCGCGGGCGGGCGCGCCGGGCGGGCAGGCTGGCGGGCGGCGGTGGCGGCGGTCGCGGCGGCGGCGTGGCTGTCATCATCATCATCATCATCATCATCATCATCATCATCATCATCATCATCATCATCATCATCATCATCATCATCATCATCATCACCATGATCATCGTCATCGTCGTCGTCATCGATGTGGTCGTTTCCATTGTCGTTCGAATTGTCGTTGTCATTGTAGTCGTCGTCATCGTCGCCGTCGTCGTCGTCGCCGTGTTCGTCGGCATCGTCGCCCGTCGTCGTCATCGTCGTCTGTCGTCGTCGTCGTCGTTCTCGTCATTGCCGTCGTCGTCGTCATCGTCGTCTGCTTCCGAGTTGGAGCCACGGGCCGAGTAGAATTCGGTGTTCGCCTCCGCGACGTTGCCACGTCGAATACAACATAATTTTGCGGTATGGCAGCGTTGCGCGCAAAATTGTATGTATTTTGTTTGCCGGCCTGTCGTTGCCCCGTAGCGAGCGGGTTGGCGCTCTATGGGTTCCCGCCCCGTGGCGTTGCCACGTGGCGAATATAATGTAATCTTCATTCTTGCCCCCCCCCCCCCCCTTCCACCCCATCCCCCAGACGCCGCCATGTGGCGAGTGCAGTGGGATTGTCTATGTACGGTCCGCGCGGCATTGCCACGTGATGAGTTGAATGTATTGTTACTTCTCGCTCGCTCCCCATGCCGTTGCCACGTGGCGAGTTGAGTGGGATAGTATTAGTGTGTACCTCTCAGGCCTTGCCACGTGACGCTGCCATGCGGCGCGCACAGAGGAGTACCATTTGTTGCCGCCCCGCTGCGTTGCCACGTGCCGAGTCGAGTGGAGTATTTCTGTTTCGCTCCGCAGGCGCTGCTTCGTGGCAGGGAATGTGGAGCAGTATTTGTCTCGCTCCCCCGGTGTGGCCTGGTGACGAGTAGAGCGAACAAATACGCGTTTCGCCTCGCAGGCGTTGCCACGTGGCGAGTCGTGGTGGGGAGCAGTTTGTGTTTCGCTCCCCCGTCGCTTCCACCGGGCAACTCGTGCGGAACAGTATTTGTGTCAATCCCGCAAGCTTTGCCACGTCGCGAAGAGAGTGGGGTAGCACCTTTTTGTTCGCCCCCCCAGGCGTTTGCCACGTGGCGAGTATAGTGGAATAGTTTCACTTTATGGCCCGCACGCTTTGCCGCGCGCCGAGTAGAGGGACGAGGGAGGAGGGAAGAGGAGAGAGGAGCGAAGAGGGAGGGGGGGACTAGGGAAGGAGCATGAAGGAGAAGGGCGGAGGGAACAGGAGGAGGAGGAGGTGAGACGGAGGAGGCAGGAAGGAGGAGGGAAGAGAAGGGAGAGGAGGCAAGAGGCAGGAGGAGGAATGAGGAGTGAGGAGGGATGAGAGGAGAATAGGAGGCCTGTGAGGAAGAGCGGGGAGTTGGAGGAGGAGGAGGAGGAGGAGCGAGGAGGGGGCCAGCAGAAGTCGCATCGGCAGAGCTCACCCTCGGAAGCAGTCGTCCAGAAGAACTCGCCTGGAAGAAGGGGCCCGGAGGAAGGCGCCCCAGAATGAGGTCACCGTCGGAAGAAGTCGCCCAGAAGAGTTCTTCCGGAAGAACTCGCCCAGAGGACGTCGCCCAAGGAGAAACCATCATCGGAAATCTCCTCGGAAGATGTCGTCCGGAAGAGATCATCTCGGAAGAAATCGTCGTCCGAAAAAGCGGTCCGGGAGAACTCGTCCAGAAGAAGTGGTCCCGAAGAAGTCGTCCGGAAGAAGTCGTTCGGAAGAAGTCGTCCGGAAGAAGTCGTCCGGAAGAAGTCGTCGCGGAAGAAACCGTGCTAGGAAGAGACTGTTTTAGGAAGAGACCGTCGAAGAGCAGATCGAGGGAAACGGAGGAACAAACAAAGGAGTAGGAGGAGGAGGCGGAGGATGTACGACGAGGCGGGGGAGAAGTCGTCGTCGGAAGAAGTGGCCCGGAAGAAGTCGGCGCGGAAGAATCAGTAGGCTTTCCCTGCCTTTCGTCCCGGATCTGCTTGCGATGGCTTCGAGGGCTGGCAACGCGAGCTGACAAACATCGTACCGATCGTCGGGGAAGCGGTCGGGGCCTCCTGCGTGTGGCATCTCCGTACTTCGGTGCAGATCTTAAGGACTCCCTCGATGTCTGAGGGCATGTCTCTAGTATGGTCATCGCCTTGGGCCTGCCGATCTCAGGGATAGGGATAGGTCCGAGGCTGGGCAGAGCAGAGAAGTCTCCCTATCTCGGTGCCGATCTTGAGGACTCCCTCCATGTCTGAGGGCACGTCCCCAGCATGGCCATCGCCTCGGGCCGGCCGATTTCAGGGGCAGGGATAGCTCCGAAGCTGGGCAGAGTAGAGGAATCTCCTGGTCCCGCCCTTGAGAACGTCCTCCAGCTCTGGGGGCACGTCCATGGTATTGCTGTAATCGCCTTGGGCCTGCCGATCTCGGGGACGGGGCTGAGCTCGAGGCTGGCCCGGAGCAGAGGGAGGAGAGCGCACAAACAATCACGTCAGCGAGCGATGGGGCCCCCTCCGCACGCCCGGGGGCCGCCCAGGAGTTCACGCAGATCTTCAACATGGGCTACCAGAACTACTCGCAGGGCGACCGGGGGCCAGCCATGATCGCTTCGTGCAGAATGCGCGCGGGAGTTTTTTTGTGTCAGTTTTCGGCCTCGGGGGGCCCTCGCTGGGCCCTGGGACCGTCAAGCAAGGACTCCGGATGAAGATCGGGTCCCGGGGAAAGGGTCGTGACTTCCAGGGACCCCGTATTGAAATTACTCCGACGGAAAGACCACGCATGACAATCCTTTCGGTCAATCTGGAAATGACCTTCACAGTCGTCCTCGCGAGTAGTGAGGCGCCCTTATTGTCTTCTCTGCGTCGTTCGCATTCTCGCCCTAGCGCAGGGCCCTCACCCCTCACCCGCTCCCCGCGTTGCCGTTGCCTCGCCCTCCTGCTGTTTGTTTCGTCACCCACCACCTCCTCTCCCTGTCTACTGCAAGAGCGCGCGCGTCGATTTTCCTCGACGCCGTCGCCGCCTCGGCCAGCGCGGGCGCATTCTAGAATGGCCGCGTCGCGCGGCCGTTGGGACAACCCCGCGGGCCAGGCCGTTGGGACAACCGCGCGAGCCGCTGGGGCGCGGGAGCAAGCCGTTGGGACAACCCCGCAGGCATCGAGCTAGTCACGGCCGCGCTCAGGCGGGAGGCAGCACGAAGCCAAGCTCTGCGGCGAGCTGCTCGGCCCCATCCCTGGGACCCTCTGCTCTCTCATCGAACTTTTCGAGCGCCTTCCGCAAGGCGCTCCCGCTTGAGACTTCCTCACAGTTCACTCACGGACGAAGCTGCCGCCAGGTACTTCCTTCATATCCAGGCCTCAAGAGCCTAAAGGTGACGACAGTTACAGGTTCGAGGATGATCCGTTCGAATTAAAACGTATAAAATGCGGGCCCCACAGGGAGAGGGCTCCCGCACGAGACCTCTTCGCAATTCACTCATAAACGACGCTGCCGCTTGAGACTTCTCCCATATTCAGGCCTCAGGAACCTCAAAGTGACGACGGCTGCCAGGTTCGAGGGTGGCCCGCTCGGATTTAAAACATGAAATGCGGTACCCGTAAGGAGGGGGGTCCCGCTTAGGACTTTTTCACAGTTCACTCACAGACGAGGCTGCCGCTTGATATTTCTTATATAGTCAGGCTTCAGGAACCCAAACGTGACGACAGGTATAGGTTCGATGATGACCCGCTCGGATTACCAAAACCAAGTGCGGGACCCGCAAGGAGGGGGTTCCCGCCTGAGACCCCTTCGCAATTCAGTCACAGACGAGCCTCTCGCCTGCTACTTCCTCCATATTCGGGCCGCAGAAGGAGCGCAACAGTGACCACAGTTACAGGTTTGAGGATGACCCGTTCGGATTACCAGTATGAAATGCGGGACCCATAGGGAGGGGGGTTCCCGCTTGAGACTTCCTCGCAATTCACTCACAGACGAGCCTCCCGCCTGATACTTCCCCCACATTCAAGCCTCAGGAGCCCAAGAATGACCACAGTTACAAGTTTGAGGATGACCCGCTCGGATTACCAACGTGAAGCGCGGGACCCATACGGAGGGGGCTCCCGCCTGAGATTTCTTCGCAAATTACTCACAAACGAGTTTCCCGCCTGATATCTCCCCCATATTCAGGCTCCAGGAGCCCAAACGTAACGACAGATACAGGTTAGAAGATGACCCGTTCGGATTCAAAACATGAAATGCGGGACCCGTAAGGAGGGGGCTCCCGCTGGAGACTTCCTCGTAATTCACTCGCAAACGAGGCTGCCGCTTGATACTTCCTACAATCAGGTTCCAGGGGCCCAAAAGTGACGACAATTATAGGCTCGAGGATGACCCGCTCGGATTACCAAGTGCGGGACCCACAAGGAGGGGGTTCCCGCCTGAGACTCCCTTTCAATTCAGTTACAGACGAGCCTCTCGCCTGCTACTTCCTCCATATTCGGGCCGCAGAAGGAGCGCAACAGTGACCACAGTTACAGGTTTGAGGATGACCCGTTCGGATTACCAGCATGAAATGCGGGACCCATAGGGAGGGGGTTCCCGCTTGAGACTTCCTCGCAATTCACTCACAGACGAGCCTCCCGCCTGATACTTCCCCCGCATTCCAGATAGCGAATGACTGGGTGAGTGAGTGAGTGAGTGAGTGAGTGAGTGAATGCCAGAATGAGCGATGATGATGCAAATGATGTGTCGGTGGTACGATAATGATGGTGGTGGTGGTGATGCTGATGATGATGGTGATCGATGGTCGATGGTGTTGGTGATCGATGGTGAGTGACTGAGTATGGTGATGACGGTGGTTGTGATTATGATGATGATGATGATGATGATGATGATGATGATGATGATGATGATGATGATGATGATGATGATGATGATGATGATGACCGATGGTGATGATGACCGGTGACGGGGTGAATGCGTGAGTGAGGCAGAGAGTGGGAGGGAGGTGAGGTTCTTGCGCGGAGGGTGTCCAGAGAAAACAAGAACCCCACCTTGGATGTGGGAAAAAATCAGGACGTCGCATGTCTGGGCGGTCGGGGCTCAAGAGACGGCGGCCAGTGCAAACGGGAGTTCAGTCAGAGCGCCGGATCTTGCAGGATTCTGCAGAGCCAGGGTTGCATTGGCCCGGGCTTGGGTGCAGGATCCCGCAGGATCTTGCAGGGTCTTGCAGGGTCCTGCAACGCCTGATTGACCCGGCGTGGACTGACCCAGGTCAGCAGATCCTCGACGGGGGCGGGCAGCGGAGCGGCTCGGAAAGACCGGCCCGCTGGCGCGGACTTCCGCGCGCAAGTTGCCCGCACTAAGGTCGCACGTGAGCGCCCTCGCTTGCAAGCTGGAGTGCTTCGCTGGCGGCCCGCGGGAGCCACCGCGTCGGGCCGCCGCGGCATCGTGCGTGAGGCCCTGCTCCTCGTCGTCGCCCATCTGGCGGCTCGCAGGACCCAGACCTCCCCTCGCGGTGCGAAACGGCACAGCAGCAACAGCACGACGAGGACGGTTCTGGGCTCCGATTTTAGCCTGAGCTACCAGAAAGAAGTTCGAGCACCAAGAAAGGGCCGAAACTGGAGGGTTTTCACGTGTCGGGCTCTGGGGGGCGATGCTCGTTCGACACCGTCTCGATACCTCTCTCGGGGTGCTCGAAATCCTTTTTAGGAGCTGGTCCTTCGAGTACGATGGGAGCAGCCTAGCTCTGGGCCATCCTCGATCTCCGGGGGGGGGGGGCCTCGCCGAGCCCCCCGGGCGCCATCACAGGAGTCATGCTCAGCCCCGGGGACGGGGCCCCAGACCTCTGGAGGGCGCGGCCGGAACGAACAGAAGCCTCGCGGCGTCGGAGGCCTGGGGCGGACCTCCGAGGTGGGTGGGTGGGGGAGAGGGCTTCGCGTGGGAGGGCTCGGAGCCCCCCGGCGAGGCGTGTTTTTGGGGAAGGCGTAGGGCGTGGGGTATGGGGGGGGGGGGGGGCAAGACCTGCGGCGTGCCGCGGCTCCCTGCACGGCCGGAGCCCGCGGAGGTCTGGTTCTCCTCCCCCCCGGGGCGGGCCTCTTCGCCCGGAGCGACGGCCCCCGGGGCCGGAGGTGGAGGAGCAGGAGCACTTCGAGCGATCCCCACCGGGGTCTGCGGCGTCTGTTCCCGAGCCGAGTCTGGCGACTGTTGCTTGCTACCCAGACCTCCTCGCGTCGTGAAAAAATCACGACGGGAGGTTTTTCGCTATTTTCGGCCCTTCGGGGGCCTTCGCCGGGCCTCGGGACCGTCAAAAAACGACTCAGGACGAAAAACCGGTCCCGGGGAATGGGTCGGGACCTCTGGGGGTCGCGTCATGAAAAAATCATGACGTCGGGGGTCTGGCTACTGTGGCCAGCCTGAGCTCGGCGCGCATGTCGCTCTTGAGAAGGCGCCGTTGCGCGGTCGCTGCTGCATTCTGCTCTATCACGGTCTGTGCGGCTGCGGCTATGGCTTGTTAGATTCACACGTGGCTTACTCGTGTGGCCAGCCTTATGCCGGCTCGCATATTGCGTTTGATAGGGCGCCGTCATTCGGTCGTTGCTGTATTCAACAGTGTTCAATTGCGTTCGATAAATTTATGTTTCATGCTGGTAGACTTTATTAGATTACGTTACGCTTTCGAGGGGCCCGCGTTACGCCGTGACGCTTATCACGTCTGCTTCACCGTCCAATATGTCGTTGTTGCGCATGTTTGTTCCTGCGGATAGCCTGCCCTTGGCGCGCACGGCGCGTTTGAAAGGTCGCCGCTAGTCAGTCGTTGATGCATTTGCTTGTGTCAGTTTCAGCTATGCGCGAGTATGGGCTATCACTCGGTCCTCCTATGTTGTGTCACGCTCGCTTGTTCGAAAAATAAACTGTATTATTGTAAGCACTGCTGTGTTACAGTATGTCCGTTTGTGTTCGGGTACGTAGCCGACCCTAATCTACTGCAGACCTGTTCTTCTATGGTAGTCTGAAGCTGATATCAGAGTTACACTTGTACTGACTTGTATGTTTTTTATGGTCTTCCACGCTTACTGTGCTATTGCACTCCAGCTATTCGTTGTTGTACATCAGTACTCACAGTTCCATTGCATAGTGTATGCTCCATGGTTGTATGTTATGTGTGTTAAGGTGTTATGCATCGTCATTGTCAGATATGCTACCTCGCTGAATGTTCTAAAATATATGGGGCAATGTTGTTGTGGATTGCTCTCCTGTTCTGTTCGGCTATAGAGCTTACGATTAGCTGGTATCGCGCCATGCTATGTTATGAGCTGGTTTGTGATGGCATTATCTTTGTTACGCATACACGCTGCCATGGTGATAGCAGTATTAGAACACTTATGCTATGGTACGTTCTGCTATGCTATGGTATACTCTGTGGTGTCCTGCTCTGTCATAGTAGGTATGTGTTATGTGTGCTGCGGTGTTATGGTATGCCCCGATCTGGCATGGTATGTTATGGCATGCTGCGGCATGTTACAGATTATGTGTTGTGTTGTGAAACGATTTTCCGCTCAAGCATGGCACAATCATCCCTGTTAGATTCGATTCGCTCACTATTACG